TAATAATGAAGAACAAAACAGTTTCATTGGAAATCTTAAGTCACAGGGAGTGGAAGCATCTGCGTCAGCCATTGAGAACGAATTTGAGCCATATCACCAATCGTCTCCAGCCTTCATTGGTTTTTAACGTCCCGAGGACCCTGACCAGGAAGTCTACACTTTCCTACGTGGCTTAGACTAACTGTTGTAGATTTCATTAACTGATGAAGCCATGTTTTGGTTTGACCACCGCTAGCTCTTTTTCAGCCTGACCCTATGTCAGCTATCATTGCTCATCGTCGAGGAAGGCGATGACTAGGCCTACGTAACACATGTCCTAACCATCTCAATCGATGTAATTTCACAGCCTCGTCGATTGATTTCCCCTCCTTACCTACCACTCGACTGAAGCCTCACATCAATATTGCTCACCTTATTATACCACTTCACATGAGAGATAGAGCGCAGGCACCTATGATCAAAGACAGCTAATCTTTTCATGTCTTCCACTCTCAATGGCCAGGTCTCACAGCTAGCCATAAAGGAGAACGGAGCGGACTGCTGAGCAGCACACTCGCCCTTTGGTCGATAGCCAGTCGGATATCACGTCTACGCCAGAGACAGCGTAAACTGGCATATTTGAAACTAGCCCTCTGTATCCGTGAGGTAGTAAATCAGGTAGAGAGGGAAGGCTGTGAGTGAGGCTAGTAACTTCACCTCGTAAAAATTAAACCACTCCTACCGAAACTTCACAGATCAAGCTTGAAGCTCTATGTTCCACAGGAAATGTGAAGGAACAAAACAAAAACTGTCCACTCCACTGTCTGTCTGTCTGGATTCAATATAGAACTTGGCACCGAAGTGCAGCAGTTCGAGTTGCCACGTTCCAAATAGCCCACAGAGGTAGACAAGAAGATGAGTGAAGAGAATCAATAGAGTTTGACAAGTATAAGAGTGAAACAGAATGGGTAATGGTAGAAAGGAATATGAAAGATTACAGAGACTGAATACATCTGCGCTGGCCATTGACAACGATTTTGAGCCATGTCACCTATTGTCTCCAGCCATTGATTCCTAGAGTCCCGAGGGCCCCAACCCGGAGTCTGCATCTCCCTACCTGACTCAGTTTAACTGTCAAGGATTTCATGGATTGATGCCATGTTTTTGTTTGGCCACCACTGGCTCTTTTCCAACCTGAACCTATATCAGCTAGCAATGCCCGTCGGGGGAGGCGGTGGTTAGGCATGCGCACCACGTGACCTAGCCATCTTAGTCTATGTAACTTTATAACCTCGTCGATTGATTTTCCCTCTTTGCCCAACACTCTACGCCTAACGTCAACATTACTTATCTTGTGAAACCACCTAACGTGAGACAGAGATCGCAGACATCTATGATCGAAAGCAGTCAACCTTTTCATGTCTTCAACGCGTATTGGCCATGTTTCAGAGCCATAGAGAAGGACGGAGCGAACTGATGAGCAGTACACACGTCCCTTGGTTGATAACCGGATGTCACGCCTACGCCAGAGATGGTGTAAGTCAGCGAAAGCAGCTCGAGCTTTTCGGATCCGTGCTGAGATTTCATCGCCAATCAGTCCGTTGGTGCTAATACAACTTCCCAAGTAGGTGAAGTGGTCAACATGTTCTATCACTTCACTCCCTATCACTAAGTTAGGGGTTGACGTAGTCCAGTCCTGTAGCAGCATCTTACATTTTGCAGGGGCGAATCGCATGCCAAACATACGAAGATTGCTGCTCAAGGTGTTCAGAAGACTCTGCATTTTGTCAGCATCCTCCCCTAACAGGACTATGTCATCTGCATATTCTAAGTCCATAAGATTATTCCCTGGTAACAAGTCGATTCCTAAGTCACTACGTTCAGTTAAGGATACTTCCATTAGCATATCTATGATGAAGTTAAACAGAAATGGGGAAAGTGGACATCCCTGTCGGACACCACTGGTTGTTACCAATTCAGATGACAATTCCCCATAAGCCCTTACACGACTACGTGAGTTTGAATAGAGTGCCTTGATTAGTGCAATGTACTTTCTTGGCACTCCCTTCACAGTCAGACATTGCCATAGTACCTTTCGATCCACGGAGTCGAAGGCCGCCTTCAAGTCAAGAAATATGACAATTGTTGGACGCCGAAAAGTGTGTCTATGTTCTAGAATCTGTCGAAGAGTGAAGATATGATCTATGCACCCTCTACCTGGTCTAAAGCCTGCTTGATTTTCCCTTGTCTGTTCCTCCCGAGTTCTGCTTAGTCTATGCATGATTACTGAGCCTAGGATTTTAGAGACTATGTTCGTTAGGCTGATCCCCCTATGATTATCACACGAGGACTTGTTTCCCTTCTTGAATATCGGTATAATAAGTGACTTACCCCAGTCTGATGGTACTGTCTCTGATTCCCAGACTTTGCCTAGTACCTCAGTTAATCTACAAACTAGTATGTCACCCCCATATTTAAACACCTCCGGAATAATTCCGTCGGGTCCTGCCGCTTTGCCTCGTTTCAAATTACTGATAGCTTTTGTAACCTCACTTACAGACGGCGGACCAGTGTCTATATCCCATTCGGGTGTGGTGGATGGCGGGGAGGTTCAGTGTGGCTGTAGGCAAGTTAAATTGTTCCTCAAAGTGTTCTTTCCAGCGTTCAAGGCGTCTATCCTGAGAGCTAATTAAGGAGCCATTTTTCTCAGAAATAGTCTCACTTATGAATTGCCTTCTCCCACCCGATTCTGTGATGAGTCTAAAGAGTTGCCTAGTGTTGCCTATCGCCGATGCTTTTTCCATCTCTTTCGCCTTTGTCACCCACCACTGTTCACGGTCCTTGCGGAGACTTTTAGTAAGTTTCCTTTTGTGCAGCTTTCGCTCCTCATTGAATTCGGAGCTCGCCGGAATAAGTCTTCTAGCATCTATCAGTTCGGATGAGGCAGTCGAAATCCAGTGGTTTTTACTCACCTTTGGATTTGCCTTATTCACAGCTTTTACAGCTGTATCTATAGCTGACTGAATATTCTTCCAGGCTTCTCCAGGGTGAGCACAGCTGTCGAATTCAGATATGCGTTTAGCTAGTTCTTCCTCAAATAGGGATTTAGTTTCCTGATCGAGCTGGGGACGTGATGGTTTTACCGCCAGCTGTTTCCTACGTCCGTTCAGTCGTAAGCACACACGAGCCCGGACCAGTGCGTGATCGGTATCTACACACGTGTTCCAGAAGGAGCGACAATCTCCTACCGACCCACGCCAACGATAGCTTATTGCTATGTGGTCTATTTGTGTCCAGCGTTGGTTTGATGATGGGGGTCGCCAGGTTAAACAGTGTCTCTCCTTGTGTTTAAAGTTAGTGCTTACAAGAAACAAATGATTATCTGAACAGAACTGTAGGAGACGGTCACCGTTGTCGGTTCGCTGGCACGGAACTCCATAGGTGCCACCGACATCCTTCTCAGATTGACACAATTTCCCTACTTGAGCGTTAAAGTCACCAGCTAGAACGACTATATCTGAGCGTTTAGCCTTTCTCACCAAACTAGACAGCTTTTGGTAGAACTCATCCTTCGTTTCATCCGAACTGCAGTCAGTGGGGGCGTAGGCGGAGATTACGAAAAGGCATCGGCGAGTAGTGCAGTCCTTTCTCCTTCTTACTGATCCGTTCAGACGGACAGCACACATTCGGCTATCTACTGGGATCCAGTCAAGCAATGTCTTTTCTGCCCTAGTACTCAGAGCTATCCCTACGCCAGCTAATCCTCGTGAACTAGCTGTGGCATCTCCTGACACCCTCAAGGTGAATTTTGAAGATTCATCCTGTTGGCCAGGTGGGGTTAGGTGAATAACCACACTTGGGTCTTGTATGCGTGTTTCTGAAACACAACATACATCAATGGCTCGAGATGCCAGGGTCTTAGCTAGTGATGCTTGTTGTCCTATTTGGCAAAGTGTCCTAACATTAAATGCTCCTATATGAAATTGGTGGCGTGGCTTTAGGAGACTATCCGTGGTGGTTTTTTGGCTTTCGTCGTTTTTAGTGGACACAGAGTGAAGAGGGAGTGAGGAGCCATCAAGTAGAGGAGTTGCATCACTGGGGGGAAGGCAAGGTAATAGAGATGAAGATGAAGACAAAGATAAGTGAGGATTAGAGAGGTTTTGTGTGCGTTTTGGATTGTGAGGGCGATTGTTACTTCCCGGCTGCCCACACCGTGGAAGTTGGTTGCGTGACCGCAGAGCCCAGGGGACAACTGCTTGTGGCCGGTCACACGCGGCCTGTTTTTGTTCGTTCTTTGTTGTTTTGTGTGCCTCAGTAGCATACTTATCACTCCCGCCCTGTGACACGGCAGCAGGAAGCGCGGTCGTTGTTAATCCGGGCCACGGCCGATCCGGCATGAAATTTTGTGAATTTGTTTGGATCATGGTATTGGATGAGGTAGCTGCTTTTTGTTTAACCGCTATCCAAACAACCTGCCTGGCATGGTAGAACCTCAAGAGACATAAGTCTCAGCCAGTATAGCTTGATTAGGTCATTGCGGTGTTCAAGCCCGACCACCACGTCAAGGTAGCAGCTTTCGGTCCACATGGTGATATAATACGCTATGCTGTAGAAGTTTAAGATAGACTTTGAAATAAACATTACAAATATTTATATGTCAATATGGAATACGAAATTTTGACTCTAATAACGATAACTTCTCACTTTCTAAGTCACGAGCAATTTATAGATATGTATTACAGCTGATAATAAAAGTGAATGAATCCTTTGGCGACTGGTACAATGCACAAGAGAATTCCGCTAACTAGAAGACTATGGCGATGTGAATGGTTTCACATTAAAGCCCTAGATATCAGTCAAAATCACCAGTGACATAAGTATGAATGATTCATTTTTTTTTAAAAACGGTTGAACTCTGACAGTCTTATCACTTCTACCTGAAACAGTTATTATAAACAAATTGCGATAAACTTTTTAAAATCGACTAGTTTTTAATAGTTTTTGTTAAACAGTCAACTTACTTCATCTGACGACTGACGATCATCAGTTTTAAGTCCAGTGAAATTAATAGATGGACGCGAAATGCATTGTTTAACTTCATTTAGTGATGATGACAGCGATTGTGATTTAGCTGCAGAAACATCACTGATTTCCACTGACACATGCGTATAACCACGATCTTTGTTATTATTATTATTATTATTGTTAACATTATCACCGATATTATTATCACTAACAAAATTATCATTAGATGAAATAAATTGTAGCTTTGATTCCCCTCCAGGTGGTAATGACTGATTATTATCACAGCCTTTATAATCCATAGCCGGATAATGATCACCTTTTGCATCTGCCTCACCACCACCACCACCACCACCACCATCGTCTTCGCAGCCATCCCCCTCATCATCCTCCTCCTCATCGTCATATTCACTCCAAATAATTGATTTCGTTGTAAAATTCTTAGGCATTTCCATAATTGGTAAACTAGCCGGTGGGATACGTACCAATGGATAACAGGATATGTGTGATCGTGGCACTAAACCCGTTGACCTTCAGAATTTTCAGCCAACATCCATTCTATTTCACCAGGTGGTTCACGATTTATAATAGTTAAGACTTCATTCGGTTTCATTGGTAATTCATCGGCTTCTAAATGTGCATCTATAGAACCAGGACCAGCTGCTTCTATACCACGAGGAAACAGGGCATATACTCGACCAGATGAAGCAGAACCAAGACGTTCATGTTGAACTGATAGAGATTAAGAAAAAAAACCCGGTATAAATGACATAGATAAACAAATATCTAAAAATTTATTATTTTGATATACTGTGTACTTTTTCTAATAGGGGTTGATAAGTTTATAACTCAAAATGAAAATTTATAATCAAATTAGTTGTGCGACTGTTAGATGGACCAGAAAATCAATGAAATCCTTCTCATAGTCTGTTCCCGAAACAACAGTGTTTCTTGGGGAAAAAAATAGTCTAACGATGAATAAATGATAAAATAGACACTATCAATACTGAACAATTCACAATCCAGATCAACCAAACAAATAATCTAAATGATAACCGTTATACAAGTGGTAGATCTTGTCACACAGTGATTCAGTGAATTACGCTTTGGTGTTTAAAACAAGGGGTGCTGAAATGCAGCTTCTATTGGGAATTCTGTCATTCACCAGGATTCAGGCGCGACTAGATGACGAGTGCCACATACGGTGCGAAATGAGTGTCTCGGATTCTGCTGATAGCCCCTACCCAACAATATATATATATATAATTTGACTTCAGTATATATACCAAAATATTAATGTTTCAAGCTAATAATGGATTCAAAAGAAGTCACTATTATAGATCACTATGGTATTGTACAGTATCTTACCGCATCTGAAAACTTTCGACAGTGTTCCCTTGGATTACAGCCTATTAGAGGAGGAGCAGCAAACATGCTTGTTTCGTAGTATGAATTTCCTGGACTACATTCTTCATGAAATCATTGGTGCACACCACTGAAGATATCCAGACTGGGATGAAATATGAGTCTAGTGTTCAGTTTGTGATGAAATCAAGTGTTTTCAATGTTGATATCTTAATAATTATGGAGTTTCAATGAGAAGTGACTAACAATAAGGTCCGCAATACGGGTATGAGAAGGTAGAATTCGTGGATCACTGGATCCCAGATCGTCGACTCAATGATGAATATACTACTCTCGTAACCTCAGGCCCCTAGCCTCGGTCTTCGATGAAATTATGGATTCGCATGGTTGAAACGTTCTTCACAAAGCAAACCCACTGTTCAGTACTCAATTTTCATCCCAATGATCTAACTAATTTTCCTATGTGATAGCCAATAAATTATTGTGGTTACCTCACTTTAAAAGACAAAATGCAGATGATACATCTAAGTTCAGATAGTCTTAATTATCAGTAAATTTGGTTGGTTATTTGTGTAGTTTCCTCTATTAAACTGGAATTAAGCAATAGGCAACTAGATGCATCTCAGATTTCTACGAGTGATTGTCAGAAGGTGAAGGCTCATAATTCAATCTTTTCCAATTGTTATGTAAAGATCTATGATTGGCTTTAGTTGTTTCTATTGTCACTGTTACTAATTAGTTAGTGGAAAATGATGAAATCTCGCCAAATGGATTCATTCTCGACTACTCTTAAAAGTAGTATAGCCAAGAAGCCATAATAAAATCGGAAATAATGGCATCAATCACATAGCAGGAGCACATTCAAAACTGAAAGATCTCAAATAGGATGAGACATAACACTTGCCGGCTTTCTAACTGATATGTACCCATATAATATGTGTGTTTTGTTTGACAGTCTGACCTTGGTGATATGTATCCATATAATATGTGTGTTTGTTTGACAGTCGGTTATATTTTACTATGTATACATGGGTCGATATTCCATTATAATTAGCCAATCATGTTAAGACTGTCTATTGATTTGTTCATTTCGAATATTCGCTCACACACTTGTTCGGACATTCATATTTTTGCTCTCACACTCTTGTGTGACATTGATTCTCCTTGTGTTTGGAAAATAGAAGTATCATCGCAAACCTAGTGGTCTTCTGATTTCCGTCTTTCTTGCGTCAGGACTATTAAATTCTCGACCAGTACATAACACTAACCGATCAACAGCAAACACTGTAACGGGTCAAATGTCTAGATATCATCAAATAAACACAATTTGACCAACTCATATTCAAGTATTAGTTTTATAGGGATTTCTGTTTGATTGCATGGAGGATTTCTGGTGGGAAGCTGTGACCATTAGCGTACAACAGGTCGCAGATGAGGCAGTAACTCATCGAAAAAGACATTGTGAAATGGTCGCGCTATGTCGTGAATTGGCAGAAGTTAGAATTCATGGGCCGACTATTGGATCAGGTCCCAGTGACTTAATGGTCTATGAGCTCGCTTGCCTTGTAACCAGAAGATCCTGGGTTCGAACCCCAGTCGGTGTGTACTGCTGAAGGGTCCCAAACTAGGCTGACGAAACAGCTGTCCAGTACTCCCTGCAGGTTTTCCGGTGGTTCTCTAACTGATGTCAGCTCATGATGAAATCCTCCATGCAATCAACTCATATTCATCAATTAGCGAGAAGAATTTCCAAGTTTTGAAGATAAGAACAAATATTTCACTTGTTGAGATTTAATCATATTAAACAGTAATTTCCTAAGTAAAGTATCCACTTTCAAACAATATAATTCGGCCTAAGGCATGACTTCAAAGCTGTGAAATGTAAATAATTTCATTCGTATAATTATAAATGGTTGGTTTTTCAACTAACGTGCTACATTTACTGTTTAGAACAAAGTAGAAAATCAACGCTTATTCATTCTTACAAATAGACATATGTAACACAAATCAAAATATGGATGTCAACTCAATTATGAGAATCAACGGTGAATAATCTCTAGAAGTTGGCAACAGAATGTTAGTTACTAAGGGATATATATTCGGCGCATATGTAGCACTGATACTGTGGAAGATGAGCTATACATTTTGAGGAAAATCCTAGTGGGAAATGGATTTCCACCACGTTTTATAGATAAGAATATACATTCAAAGCATACAAAACGTGACTTATCAACCGTTCCCAAGAAAATACTTTACATGAGCTTGGAGTTCAAAGGGGACTTAGCTTCCGATATCATGAAACGAAGGATAACACAGTCCCTGAAAAGAACATTCCCTGCTGCATCTCTGAGAATAGCCTTTACTAGCCGACCTGAAGGACAAGATCCCGCTGTTGACCAACTCTGTGTGCTTATCAATTCACCTGCTCTTGTGGAGCTAGGTAAATCGGTCGTTCGACCCGAGTTTTGTCCAAGAGGGTGCAAGAACACTATCCTGCATGGTTACGAGGTGGAAGTGGAGCAATAAGAAGCGCGATCATTGAACATCTGGTCCATAATGATCAGCCTATCTCTATAGCCTCCGCCTTTAAAGTCATCTACAAGGCAAAGAGCAATCTACCCAAATCCCTACGTACCCGACTCATCTGTATTGCTGAAGCTGTGGCTATCGACAAAGAAGAGCCAGATCTCTGTGTATAGAAAAAGTTCGTTCAATCCCTCCAACCTTCATGGTCTTAATCCCTCTATGCTAAAGTATGGTAATCCCCAATCACATTTGAGCCCTACCAATTTTTCATTTTTCCATTTTATCTATTCAATTGGTATACTCTTCCTTATTACGTCAATTGTTACTATTACTACTCTCACTTTGATGAACTGTCCCCGGTATTATTTCACTTGTTCCACATGTCATTCTAAATCAATTCTTTTTTTACGTTAAATTCTATGCAATTACAAATAATCATCACAGCTTCACACTATGCATACAATAAGCTATTCTGGGTTGTACATAACCGACTACCATACGCACAAATCCAGTCTATATGTACCATGATCTCATCACGCTGATTCTGTACACCATGTCACTTTAACAATAAAGTATGCACCATGAGGGTGAAATAAAACAATTTGACCTTTACAATTCATTATGTAAGGTGTGAAGGCAATTCGAATTAGACACAACCACTTAAGGTCAATACTACTTTGATGAAACTGCAAAAAGCAATTGTATAAGTTGAATGTACCTCGAGAAGACAGTGGTGAGAGTAGACAAGCTCTGGGACACTTAATACACTTAAACAGTCTCATGAATACAAGGTAAATAAAAGGCTAAACAACTTTCATCAACCATAACCAAACTTTCATCTAAGTCTGACATGACATAAATTTGCTTATTTTGGAAAGGGTAGAAAGAAAAAGAAAAATTTGAATAGATTGAAAATTTTTTTAAATGCTTCTTTAATTTATGTTAACTTATAACAAAAATCTTCTCCGAAGAAGTAAACAGACGTGTAGAAGCAATAAAATATCAAGTATTGACTTTAAGTACATTGAAAGACACTAACACTTAGGAGCAGAAACCAAGAGGGTATGCAAATCATGTTACCTTAGCCTAAAGGTTAACCTATAGCTTAGCACAAAGACTTATTTTGACATTGAGGAAATAACATACAAACACATAAATGTATGGTAAAAAAAATATGAAAGAAGGAAGACAGTGATGAGACATGATAGTAATACAAATAGTAATAGTTACTTGTGCGTCGGTGGCACAGTGGTTAGGACTCTCACCGACCATGCACATGGTCCGGGGTTCGATCCCCTGCCAACGCACACCCGATATCCATGGTCGGCCTGCAGAACTTGGGCTACCGATATCACATGCTGAAAACTCCATACCTGTACCAAAATATACGGTGTGGAATCAAGCTGTAGTTAAAATTTTTTTAAACGATGAGGGTAATGATTTAAATAAGAACAGAGCTACAAAAGGACTGGTTTCCCAGACTGACAGTGAGACGTAGTCAAACATGGCTAAGACTAATGTGTTCTATTCTGTCCTTTGCCATAAAACAATAGTGTTCTTCTGT